GGGGGGAGGCAACCACTGCAGAACAGGTCAGTTTTTATCCTCCAGACAAGTCTGATATCAATAAACCGGCTCCCGTGGGGTTACAAGAATAGGTTGGCCCGGCCAATGCACGAACCAAGACATGAAGACATGATATCCGGATCAAGTGCGTGGTAAGAAGCGCCTACGCCAGTATACCCCTTTCGCCCGTTTCAGGAATATTGAAGATAAAATTCTAAGTTCATGTTATTTTGATATTGGCTCTTAAGGCTATATTGTCACCGTGATCGCTTTTCTGCATGCAATTTGTCTGTTCAACGAGCTCTATGTCGAAGCTCGGCAGTTGAGGTAAGTGAGAAGCACGGCCCTGACTAAGGAACGGTAAACGTGGACCTGGTAATTTGCAGTGAGGTGAGCATCATAGCATTGGCTTCAGACGGTCAGCTCAGAACTGCTATTGTTTAGTGATGCTTTGAACGGAGCCATGGTGGTTTTTCACGCAGTGCTTTGTAATCTATCCCTCGGGCGAACTCCTTTCACTGTTAGCTAACTCTTCACACAGGCGTCTGTAGGCAAGCGTTCAAACGTCGAAAATTTCTGTAGGTATGCTACGGAAAAGCACTAAAAAGCAAACTCAACATGGAGTGGATCCAGCGACCATCTGCTTGTGGCTTGAACCATTATCGTTACGCATTTCCGCTTAATAACTCCGTTCAACCAATCGCTCAGCAGACAGGGAAAACCGTTCTGAGCTTAGCCTCACGGGCAAATGCAACGGTGTTCTCTCAGTTTCAAAAGGACAAGTCGATCTGTTGACTTCTCCTGGAAAGGGTAGAGGTACTGCATAAGTTTGTCTTTTAGATTTCATCCCGCTTCACGCTCGGAGTGCTTTCGTCAAACATGCGTCTATGTGTTCGTCTTCATGGCACAGGCGGCAATGTTTCTCATGTTGGCCGTGGATTACCTACTTGCCGTGACGATCCCTCTCAGGTAATCCGACTCTATGTACATACTATCACCAGTGCAAAGTTATGACAAAAATACTTTGTAGGGGCTCTTAAAGGACTTTTATGCTATTGAAACCTTCCACTGCTTGAGCTATCGTTAAAAGAGGACACCTTGCTTATTTCCTAATACCAAATATATGTATAGTGGCATCGCGTTTGACCAAGCCCGTGACAATTAAAGGCAGAAAATTGCGCATCAAATGAGAGGTGCAGCCGCTAAAGCTATCAGAAAGTCATTTCTAATGTATGGCAGCCATACCAGTGATCGTGTCACAAAGTCGGTAGTGAGGAACGTTACCAAAAATTACCAATCAAGTTAATCAAGAGTTGTATTCGACACACCACGCTTTGAAACGCACCACTCAGCAAGGGGTGTCGAAGTTTCTGCGACCTGCATCGCTCACAAGCTCCGCGCTGGATTTCCTCAAAAGCCTCTTGGAGAGTTTTTTCTGTTTCATACCACCCGATTTTCGGTGCAATTCCCCATGTTCGAGGGTGGAGCTCCGCAGTATTCTGGTTGATGTTGTTCGGTAGCAATCTTGAACCATTCATGGACCATTAATCGCTTCATCACTTACATTTTACATTATGTAGTAAGGATATTTCGTCATGCCGGCGTCGGTAAATGCTGCATACGATTAGGCGTATAAAACAGGGCGTAAAATAGCGATAACCTCTATAACAACTAGGGCGGAAGTGGTGTAGTGGCAAGTGGCACGCTTACCACGCGAGCGGTCCGGGATCAAATCCTGGGTCGTGAGTCGCCCGGGCCAACCAAGCCTTCCATCCCTCCGGGGTCGGTTAATTGGTACCAGACTTGTCTGGGAGGATAAAAACACTGACTTGTACATCGGCTGGCCCCCGCAAGTCATTGTATAGGCCACATCGCATTCAAACGCCACTACGAATGTACAAATGGAAGTAGAATGCGTGCCGCATCCCAAAAAGGGATTGATCAACGGCAAATGCTTTATCCTTTATATAGCGTGAGTCTATAGGGATGATATGCGCCATTTCAGGCACCAGGTGTTTCCCACAGCACCTTACGTCTTCTATTTGTGTGTACCGCCGTTCTTGTTCGCCTCTGCTATTGTGGCCTTCTCAGTAATTTTCATGAACGACGATCATATAGAATTATGTACGCCAATTCAAGGTAGCGTTATGCAAAGTGAAGCAGTGGGTGGAGAGGAGAGTGCTTAATTTCCCCTCCTTTCCACTAACTCTTTCGTTTTGTCGATTACTTCAACGTTTTTTCAGCGATGCCGCAGAACGTACAGTCGGTTATGTACGTCATCATAGTGCTCGATGTTGCCGTCCTCCTAACACTCACTACAGTAATCGGATTAGGGAGATGGAGAAGGAAGAAGAGAAGAAGCCTTAGTAGTACGCAGTTCCCACTTTGTGCCTGCAAAAACAAATTTCACTCAGACTTAAAATTTTATAAAAAATTACTTATTATTCCAACCATTTCACTGAATACAGTCAGCATCAAACCTGGCAAAACTGGCACTGGGGGCGGGTCCAAATAGTCAGGATTGATGGGGCGTGCGGCGGCCACCTATATCAAAGATAAGGATAAGACCGCTCATAAGAAGGCAATCGACTCATTTACTACGTACTTCTGACAAGTAATGGTGCAGTGTGGAAGTGTCCCTAAGACGCTTATCACATTGTCAGCAATAGTTCAGGGAAACGGTCCTAATCCAGGAGGAATGGATATATTCACCTACACGTAGGGGAGGAGGAGCTCCATGGTGCAAAAAATTGGACCGAATGTGGGCAGGGTGTGTGGGATGTAGGACATTTACCTGTCCTTAGCAGAAGGACAACAACAAGCAAA